CCACGTGAGCTCATGGCAACTCGTCCCACTTTGGCTGGGCGAGCCTCCAAAACGATCTCGTTGGCTCAGTCACGCTCGAGAAGTATGTGCAAATCGCTTAAGGATTGCTGCTTTTCATCTTTCAATGTCAAAGCCTCCCCTGGCTTGATTTACTTCCAACGTCTCGTTGTGATGTGAAAAGGGATGGACATGACACTCATGAGCTCGTTCATTGTGTTCCGACTCTTTTTACATGACTCAAGGGACATGACTCATGACCACGTGGACATGCCACGTCAGCTGATCGAGACTGACATCTCGACACGTCTAACATTTGCTCTAGGGTACTCCAATCCAATGGAGCTTTCTGGATGGATGCTGTGGGAAATATTCTGCCATCTTGATCTCCGAAGTCTTCTTCGTTGTAGGCTTGTGTGCAAAGCATGGGATTCTCTCATCTCCCACAACTTCTCCCGGTTTTATGGCGATCAGCCGGCGGTCATGGTGTTCTTTACAAGCAGTACGGAGGTATGGTTCCCATTCTCCAGATCACAGCCTAGCTTCAAATTAAACATTGGGTACGATCAAATATGTCGCTCATTGCCTGCTATAGCATCAAATGGATTGATTGCCGGATGGTTGTCAGAAAGCCCTTCTGATCTCTTTGTATGGAACCCTTTGACCAACCATCGCAAGGTTTTTCCCAACAAAGAAACTACTAAAGAAGAGTTTATAGTGGATCCAGTGACACGGAATTACACGCTGTGGATTTATGGGCACGAGAGTGACAATGTGATGGTTTACAAATCTGAGACAGGGGAGTGGTCAGAGATGAAGAAAAGATATCTGGGCAAAGTTGACTATGCAACTACCGTCTCTGGACCTGGTGATATACGTACCCTGTATATATGGAAGTGCGAACCTCGGAGACTGGTGGCAAAATTCCCTTTCCGCGATGAATGGGTGAGACGTTTCAATCGGAGGCCTCCCTTGCATTTTAGCGGTTTAGTTGGGAATATGGTGATTTGCAGCTTCATGTTCCACGGAGTTTACATGGCATATGACTTGGTTCATGACACTTGGGACACTTTCCAAACAGTAGAACTAAAATCTGCTCAGTATTATGAACTTTTTATACCTAGCTTGGATAAGCCATGAGCATAATACAGTTGAAAGGCACAACACTATGGATCCACAGAGCTGATTTAGTTCCCAGTAGGGAGAGCTAGTTTTTCGTCAGGTTTTCAAACCAACACCACTTGATTAAGCCAGAAAATTCTACAAATTTTCTTAAAATAAAAAGAGATGGACTTCAAGATCAAAGTAAAGTAAAACAAAACGCTCCTTGGGTGATTCTAATTCTCTGACTTTGTTTCTATAATCAGATATTACGCTCCTAAAGCTGAAATGAGTTGCACACAAGTAGAGGAACTTGTGTTGTATCCCAGTAAAAACTGTTATCTATACAAGAAGTCTTTAGGATAATTGAAATTGTGCACCCTCTCCAAACTACCACGCCTTGGAAACAAACCCTGTGTTCCAAAGAAAAACAATCATATCACCATTGTCATGCTGTACAATAGCCTAGATTAACTCCATTCTATCAGCCTGGAGCAACATTCCTCTCATGCTCGATCCAACACCGGTTTGATCCCAAGTCATAGCCTATCTGTTGACCGCCCTCCACCCAACCCTGGTGACGCCGCCACGACTAGGTCAACGAGTCAAACACGTCAATGCCCTTCTTTAGACTTCCATCTTTGACCGCCACCACTGTAGCCAGCACTGTAACCACCGTCGCCACCTCCGTAAGCGCCTCCTCCACCGCCGTAAGCACCACCGCCAGTCGCAAAGCCTCCACCACCATAGGCGCCCTTTAAATCGAATGAGTGTTTTACCTGGCAGCACCACAAATGAGCCGGATTCCACACCGCAAACTTTGCACCAGCAAGAAAGTGGTGGGAGAAACAAAGCAGGCCCCCGGCAGAGGCAACGGGCTCCCAGTAGCGGACCGAATCCGGATCTGGCAGTGGCAAAACAGTTGCATCGTCGTTACTGAAAGGTAGTGGTGCTGTAACTGATCTTTTGTGTATTCAAGGACCAGAGGAGGAAATCTCCAGCATGACTGTCAATCACTGCTCTCCACCTGTGGCACACAGATGCTTTCACAAAAATCCGTGCTGTCCTATTTATGTTAAACCAGGCATATTCTATAGAATCATTATAATGCAGAAAAGAGTTTCTTCGTCTAGGCAGTGAGAAGGCCGCTGGGAGATTCAAGATCTCAAGCATGAGTTTGAGGATGAGAATGATTTTTTCCCGTTTTTTAAATGACACAGCCTGATGCCATCACAAGTCTAGTTTTGAGCCTTGATAGTATTATTCTAGTAGCAGAACTTTTTATTGGAGAAAAATAATTGGTTCCGAACATCAAAATTTTGACAAGAAAACTTGTTTCGAACATGAAAATCTAGAGAAGAAAACATAAAGTAAATACTTAGTGCTAAACTATTTCCAGCTGTGAGTGCTGTTCTTGATAGCTTAACATTCAGGTACCTCAAAGCATCTCAGCAGAAATACATCGGCTGTTTACAAGATTTTAGGAGAAAATTCAAGGTGAAGAAGCCCCTAGCAAAAGCTTGATCACAATCTCTACAGCCGAGGAAAGTGTCTTCAACCTCTTCAAGCGTTGTTGACAAGCACCTTGCTCTGTTGTCGAGCACCGGTTTCTTTAGAGAACGTTGCAGGCTTCTTGCAATGAACAATCTGCCTATGCTCGCTCACCCGCTTTCACTTGATTGCTATGGTATGATAACCATACCTATATAGGTATGATAACCAGCGAGCTTTGGAGCTTTACGACGAGCACCAACAAAGCTCAATGCAAAGAATTTAACGATTGGAGTCGGCTTTGAAATTCTGAAGGAACAACGATTTTAATTGGTCGCTCCTGGGCCAATCGTGTCCGAGTAGAAGGGTGTCACAGCTGAAAAAATTCCACTCGATTTCACATCTGAAAAATTTCCTTTACGATATATATTTATAATATCTTCTCGACTTTTTACATCACAATCTAGAATTTATGAATGAGTCGCTCGTCTCGTCACTGGGGTGTCAAAATCTTGCACATACGATGCTGATGCTAGATCCAAAGTAAAAAATTACAAAACAATGCAGACACTACCTTGTCTCTAGTCATCGGACCGACAGTACGAAAAGAGAGCGTTAAACTTCCATTGTAGTTCATGGCTGTTAATTCAAACATCATGGACAAAATCCTCCAAAACCACAGGAAGCTCGCTGTTCTTCCGGCAAATTCCTAGTGAAACATACACCACCACCATCGCTGTTACTGGCTAAGAATCATAACAACAAACTTTATTCTCTCCTAGATTGAAAATATCACCATGGAAACAAGCTGCTGAGAAGCTGGAAACTTTTCACCGCCATTCCGTGTTGCCTCTTTCTTTTGTAGTTTTTTCTCTCCTGTGGCTCGATAGGTGTACAGGACAGCCTGCAAGCCTGCCTTGTTGTAACTCTCCTGTTCCAAAAACCGTGGCCTCTTTTACCTCGAGTTCTCACCATTAAACACTCGCCGCCTAAGTTCTCCACCATGAGAGGCAGCCCTTCCCCCAGGGAGATTTTGGGCTTTCAGCCAAGGAGTTTCTTGGCTTTGGTGATGTCTGGCTTCCTCTTGTGTGGATCGTCCTCCGTGTTGTTCCGGAACTCTATATCTTTGCCTCTGGATCAATCGTCTCTCGTATCACCTGTGGCATGGTTTTCGATTGCAAACGATGGCGTGGAAATTTGGACGTACCTGTGCAAGTTCCAACATGGTGAACTCTCCGGGATTGTCCGATGTGCTCACCTTCCATTAAGCTGATAAGCTGCATGCTAAACGTGTAAGCTTCGGTCGAAGAAAAAAACGCAAGGTACCAGATCTGACACATTGAAAGCTCCAAGTTTGCTTTCCATGTAAACAGTCATGGCCTCCTTACGTAGAGCCTAAGTTCAAAGCTGTTGTGAATTACAAGGTATGAGCAGAAAGAGCCTTCTTACCTGTGCAACGAAATTGCTCACTACGCGGCCATCATCGATGCACATTCGTGGACCAAAATTCGGGCAATCCTCACCTGATCATCAGTGATTGCGCAAGTTGTAATCTCACCACAAAAAAAAAAAAGATCATGCTTAGTTATATCTTACATGGACACTATCATCCCTGTGATAATCCATGGTCAGCGTCTCAGCAACACGCTTGCCTTCATCATAGCAACTCCGAACACCTACATTAATAACGCAAGTACCAAAACCAAGTTAGAAGTCACTACTTACGAAGAACAAGTGAATAAGCAGAACCGAAACATCGATCTTACCAATAGTCCTCCTTCTGCGGGTGCTCGATCGGATCTCCGTAAACTTCACTGGTACTTGTGAGAAGAAAACGAGCACCAACACGCTTGGCCAACCCGAGCATGTGAAAGGTTCCCATCACGTTGGTCTTGTAAATGCCTAAGTCGAGGACAAACCAAGGGACGAGCAACAACACCAAAAACAAAAACCAAACCGGGCCGCGGGCAAGCAGCAAACAAGAGCAAGAAGCAAAAGAAAAGATTGCCAAGAAAAGATATGATCGTCTTCACGGGGTAAGCTGGGCACGCAAGGTGATAGATCTGGTCCACCTCCAGCAGCAGTGGGGAAGAAGCTTGTAGCGGCCGGCCAGCGGGTAGAGCAGGACGCCTTGGACAGGGATAGCTTGAGGTAAGGGACGAAGAAGAGGAGGAAAGCTGAGAACTATGGACGCCTGTGGTGATGGAAAGGAATTCGCACGGACTGTGGAAGCTACTTTTATTGGGAACTGGATTGCTTGGAACTAAGGAATCAACTCTTTCTTATACTTCCAGAAACTGATTCTAGCTCGCTGAGCATCTCCAGGAACCTCAGTGAGGTAAAGTTCTTAGACACTTTCGTTCGTTCTGGGTTTAGGGTTTAAAGGGCAATGCTCTCCGGATGGAGGCGTTTACAAGTGAGTAACATTCTCATTCTTTTCTAGTTGCTCTCCTCAGGTTTTGCCATCTTGTTGCGCAGGCCAGGACGCAATGCTGCAGCGCTTGCTCTACACTAAGAACACGGCATCTGTGTATGGCACCCAAAGGCAAGTTTCCACACGACGAGCACATCATCCTTCGCCGGCACTCTCCCGGCTTCGATGGCAGAGTTGTCAAGGAGGCGGTTTTCTTGGTGCTCCAGAGGGTGTTCGAGGACTTGTTCCTGCCCAGCTGCCACTCGTTCCGGCCTGGCCGCGGGTTTCACACAGCTCTGCAAGATTTGCGTCACTGGAGAGACGTTTCTTTCTTCGTCAAGCTGACGGTGAGGGATGTCAAGGCCGACAGAAGCAGTGAGGCATCAGGAGCTGTGAAAGCTTTCGTGAACGATGGTGCACTCGTAGAGCTTCTGCAACAGATGGTGGACTACAGGCATCTCGAGCTCCAGTGGAAAACGCCCGTCAAGCATGATGGATCGATCCTGAGCAAGGGCCTTTCGTTCTTGTGGACCAACATCTGCTTGCATCGAGTTGACAGCTTCGTCCGGCAGGAGCTCGAAAACCTCCAAGGCACAGACGCAGACGCAGCAAAGAAGAAACAGAGAAAACAGTACGTGAGGCACGCAGGAAATTTGCTAGTTGGCTACAGCGGCACTGATCGAGTGGCTTGCCAGGAGTTTTACAACAAAGTTTCCAGTTTTGTGGAGTCCGAGCAGGGCCTGATAGTGGATTCACTCCGCTCTGGTATTAGGCACTACACTCGAAAGGTGGACTACTTGGGATTTGGAGTTTCTTACAAGCCTGTACTCCAGCCGGAGAGCTTCAGGGGTGAGGTTCATCTCCAGAGGCTGAAGAGAGCCTGCAAGATTCTTATCCAGACCCGGATGGAGCACATCGATCGCATCAACCGGCAGTTTCAACATGCGGTTTCACACGCCATCGGGATAACTTTGAAGGAAAGCTTCGACGACAGCATGCAGAAAGGGATGTGTCCTCCCGGTATCAGATCCGAGCAGATCAGGATCGACGCGAAACTCGAGGATGATCTCCACTGGGAGCGCATGAGGATGGAGATCTCAAACAAGGCAACCGGCAGCGAGATCAGGGGGCTGCAAACGAACTCCGTCAAGATTCTGGGAGCTCTGAAGCAGATGATCAAAGAGTCCAAGTACAAGGACGCCTACCACCCCAGGCCAAGCTCGACTCTGCTGAACGAGCTGGCCAGCCGAGCTTTACCGCCGAAGGTCATGAAAGCTTCGCTGGACATCGACAGGACTTTGAGAGGGTTTTACCAGAAAGTCCTGCGAGCGGAAGCGGACGCGCGCAAGAGTCGTAAAGTCGATGCAAAGCTGATACAGAACATGTGGACGGGGAATACGTGGTTCTCGAGCGTGGACCTGCTTGCTCCAATCGACGAGCTCAAGAAGCTACTGGAGGAAGCCGGGTTTTTCAAGCGAGGAAAGGAAACTCACGTCGGGAATATGTTCAACATGACCGACGAGGGGATTGTGCTGCTGTACGCTCACGTTGCGCTGAGCATCCTCAAGTACTACAGGTGTGCCAACAATCTTCCTCAAGTGAGGCTGCTGGTGAACTACCACCTGAGGTACTCGTGCCTGCTCACCATCACAGGCAAGCACCAAAAGACGCTGCCATGGACTATAGAGAACTACACCAAGGATCTGATCATCAAAGTTGACGAGGAGGATGGGACGGTGGTGAAGCGGCCTTTCCCGAGCCGCAAGCAGGTGTTGTCGATGAAGCACGACTTTTTCAAGAGGCCGAGCCCGACACCTCCGTGGGAAGTCATCAGGCATTGGAAAGAGCTGAGGAAATCTGTCGACAGGGAAACAGCACAGAGGGAGTCGAGAGGTGGTGCTTAAAAAGCTGAAGAGCTGCTTCGCTTGCTTTCCGGGAAAGCATGTCGCTCGGCTTTTTTCGCTTGACTCTTGGAAGCTGGATTGGAGAAATCTCAGTAGCTTTATGCGGCCAGCCAGCAGCAACAAAGTCTACGTGCTCCTCGTGATTTGCAATCATCAAGGCTGCTTCTTAAGGTAATGTATGGAAAATAAGTTTTTCAAGCTCCGCGCTTTGATGATACTCGTGCTTCTGTGCAGATACCATCACCGTGGCTCTCGTCGTCTTGAATAAAGAACGAATTCTCCACCTAACCATCGGAATCCGCCACTGGATCACCGAGGTTTACTGCTCGGTACGGGTAAAGCACCGGGTGTTCTAGATATACAACTCTAACTTCTTGTCTCTTCTTTCTTCACAGCTAGCGATGCTGGCAGGGGAGGACCATTTAGCCAGTTTTGTCCGATGCCAAGGATGAGAGCGGTCAGAATGGAGAGCACGCTTATTCCAGTCGTGATCGTTGCGCTCGTGTCGCTTGGCCAAATCTCGAGAGTGGCATCGGAGTGTGCTACTTTCCCTGCGCTCTTCAACTTTGGAGACTCGACCTCGGATACTGGAGGAATCCAGGCGGCATTCCCGACCTTCAGCCAGGCGGAGTTTGCTCCTTATGGCATGACGTTCCCTGGGAAGCCGTTTCTAAGATACAGCGATGGTCGGCTCGGTGTTGATTTCCTCTGTAAGTTTTCGCTTCTAGATTTCGTTTCGTTTCGTTTCGTTTCGATCTGATGGTGGTGTTCTGTTACATGTGGATTTCAGCTGAAGCTCTTGGGATTCCCTACCTCAGTCCTTACTTCCAGTCTGTTGGATCGAATTACACCTATGGTGTCAACTTCGCAACAGCCGGAGCTACATCGCAGGCCGTGACATACATCAGCCCCTTCTCACTCAACGTTCAGCTCAACCAGTTCAGGGAATTCAAGCAGAGAGTCCTTGCGAGCAATGGTAGTGACAGTGAGCCTCAGCTGGATAGAAATCTGACGGATGCTTTCTTTGCCAGGAACAAGAAATCTGAATGCTCTTCCCTCGCCGAGCGTCTTCTCCAGAGCCATCTACTATGTGGACATTGGTGGGAATGATTTTAGCTACGGCTACACGAGGAACATGACGTTCGATCAAGTCAAGGGGTACATCCATCAAGTGGTGGACGGGATCATCTTCCTCGTGAAGGTAATCCATTCAATGCGTTGATAGCTTCTTCCCTTTTGTTCTTTCATCCAGGGAGTGTATGCCGAAGGAGGCAAGACGTTCATCATCTCCGACGTCGGCCCGCAAGGCTGCGTCCCATACTTCCTCACCAATTTCCCAAACTTGGCAGTGACTTACGACTCGGCCGGATGCGCTCGAGAGTTCAACGCGGTGACGCAGTACTACAACGGGCTCCTTCGAAAGGCCTCGAGACTCATGCGAGCCGCCTTCACAGGCACCACCATTGTCTACCTCAACTCTTACGATATCAAATACGCTCTCACGCTCAACGCTGCCAGCTACGGTAAGAGCAAAGTTACAAACTCCAGTGATTCTCTCGTTTCGTGTTTCCAGGATTCCAATACGCGACTCGGGCTTGCTGCGGCACAGGAGGCGATTACAACTACAACTTCGGGGTCCAGTGCGGGGAGTCGAAGATCGTGAATGGCAAGTCAGTGGTGTCCACGACTTGCAAGGATCCATCTCAGTATCTCAACTGGGATGGAGTTCACTACACCGAGGCCGCGAACAGGATCATCACCAGGCAGATACTGAGTGGAAACTACTTCGATCCAAAGCTTCCGCTGGACACCTTGTGTTCTCTCAACACCATTTGATTGCTTGCTTCCAAGGCACAAGCGAGAAAATTTTGCACGAGAAAAGGCTGGGGTCTTTGTTTTCTTTTCTCCTTACAGGGCAACTGCGAAGTTCCAGATGCTCAGATTGGGCATCCTGTCAATGTCTTGCAAGAGAAGGTAAAAAATGGCAGGTGAAACACAGAAATTCACTGAAGCATTGTCCAAAGTCTTAGGAAAAGAAGTGGTCAGCTGACAGTAATTATTAGTTGGTAGATCTCCTGTAAAAGCAGACAGTTCTGTCTACCGTATCTCAAAGAAAAAATAAATACAAGAGAAGGCCATTTCTATTTTTTATTTTTCTCTACCTCTAGGCGATGATTATCGCCCAGTATATACATACCAATATACACTCTGATCGTCTTCTTCGATCATCTTAACCCGGTGCACCACTGAATGCACAAACCCAGAGCATGAGAACGCCGAAGAAAAACGAAGTTCTCACATTAAGAAAGCCAAAAACAAGGAAACAAACCAAAGAGCAAACGAGAGCAAAAAAAAAAAAAAACGAGCTTACCTTAGTGACAACTCTTTGCGAAGAACATCCATCACCGCACCAAAGTCATTGGGAACTTGCAGCGGCGGATTCGCAAACTGGCACGCCAAGTCCGGAATCTCTTTCGAGTGGTACGCGATCTTGGACTGCGTGAACTTGAGACCGTGAGCCGTGCTCACCACCACCGTCCTGTCCGTGGCTCCAATCACGCCGCTGCGACGGAGCTTTGTCAGTGCCGAGAGCGCTACTCCAGTGTGGGGGCACGTAAACATCCCTGTGAGATCCGCCTGAGCAGCAGCGTCCATGAGCTCCTCCTCCGAGGCCTCCTCCACGATACCATTGGACTGCTGCATCGCGTACACGGCCCTGTCGATCGACACCGGGTCGCCAATCTGGATGGCCGAGGCAAACGTCGGGTTTGCCTTGATCGCCTTGTAGTCCTCCCAGCCCGACTTGTAGAAGCGGTAGAGCGGGTTTGCGTTGGCCGCCTGTGCGCACACGAGGCGTGGGATCCTGTCGACGAGCCCGAGCTCCTTGCACATCTGGAAGCCTTTGAAAAACGCGTAGATGTTGCCCAAGTTCCCTCCGGGAACTATCACCCAGTCGGGAACTTCCCAGTCGAACTGCTGGAGTATCTCGATCGCGGCAGTCTTCTGCCCCTCGAGCCGCAAGCTGTTGAGAGAGTTTGCAAGATAGATCGGGAGCTCGGCCGTCACCTCGCGTATCAGCCTCATGCAGCCGTCGAAGTCCGTGTCCAGGCTGAGCACCAGAGCTCCGTTTGCGATCGGCTGGACGAGCTGCGCGATGGAGATCCGGTTGGCAGGGAGGAAAACAATGGCTGGAATCCCCGCGGCAGCGCAGTAGGCCGAGAGAGCCGCGGACGTATCACCGGTAGAAGCACAGCCGACACCCACGACTGGCTTCTTCATCTTTCTCAGCCTGTTAACTTGGCTCACCAGCACCGTCATTCCCAAGTCCTTGAACGATCCAGTGTGGCTGATCCCACAGTGCTTCACCCAGAGATCGTTCATGTCCAGCATCTCTTTTCCCAGCCTCTCCGCCCAGAAGAGATTCGAGTTCCCTTCGAACAAGCTCACTATATCGTCATTGTCGATCTCCGGAAGAACCCATTCCTTCTTGCTCCACACACCGGAACCATACGGCCAGGAAGTCTTCCCCACGCGGGAGTCGAAGAGATTCTTCCAGTACTTCGCGTCGTGCTTGGCAAGAGCTTCCATGTCGTGCTGGACGTCGAGGAGATCCCCGGTCTTGCTTCGGTAGATCACCTCGTCCAGGGAGTAGTACTCCTCGCTCGAGCTGGATCGAGAGGAGAAGGGGACGTACTTGGCCGAGAAAGTGTTTGGAGGAGCGCCAATGCCGTGCCTCCTCGCCTCGTCCCTGATGTTCTCCGCCGATCGCTTCTTCACGGCCTCCTTGCGCGCCCCGGGCGGTGCCTCGGCGGAGATGGACTCCAGGGTCACCTGGGAAACCCCATTCTCACCAGAACTCGCCGATCCACTGGCTGCTCTCACGCTGATTCTCCTCCCCATTCTACCTCGTCCTCCCGGCAATTTAAACATACCTCCAGCGCCGCGGCGCTGCGACGGCGGTGGTGAGGCGGCGGCGTGGCCAGCAGCTCCGATCATCATCCCCGTCTGGCAAGTGGCCGCCATTGTGATCGATCGATCGAGTGTCACATCCTAACCCAAGAGCCCTAATTTTTGGGCTAGGGTGCGAAAAAAAATTTGGACCATTTCTCGATTTGTGCGTGTCATCCTTGCGCAGGGGCCATGCTAATCTTCTCTGTATCGTTCCAATTTTATCTGGTGTCTCCGAAGAGACATTAGTAACTAGCGATGGCCAGGTTTATAAAGAGCTCATTCTCAATTGTGCCAAGGCATATGGGATAGGGCACTACAAGCCCTAGCCCTAACCCTAAAAATTAATGACGTGGCAATTTCGAAAACTGATCGAAAACTGATTTACGTGGACGTGGCAAGCATTTCTTAAACCCTTGGAGGTTTGTGCTAGGGTTTGTTCATGGCTTGCGCGGGACTGCCCGCCCCAGGGATTGTGGCGGCTTGCGGCGTTGCGGCAGATCAATCGCCAGCAGCGCCAGGTAATATCAATCTAGGAATCTCTCGATCGAGCAGCAATGCGGGCTCCTCGAGCATGTCCAGGAAGAACTCCAAGAGTTTCCACTCCACGCCGGCGATGGCGTCGGATGTGAGCGGCATTGTCGCCATTCTCACGAGCGTGGGAGACCGGCCAGAGGCCGAGGCGGCATTGGCCAAGTACAGCCGGAATCTCGTCCCCAACACCGTGGGCAGGGTCCTCCAGGTGATCAAAGACGTCGATGTCTCGCTCTTCTTCTTCCGCTGGGTCACTCGCTCGCACCGGGGAGAGTCCATCCACAACAATTTCACTTGCAATTGCCTGCTGCGAACGCTCGTCAAGGCCCGGCGCCACCACCAGGCATACCAGATCTTCCGGGATGAGCTCCTGGGTCAACACTGCGACACGAATCACATCACTTACAACACCCTCATCGGTGGCTTCTGCAAGGCCGGAGATATGGAGCGAGCATTCCAGCTACTAGCGGAGATGAAAGAAAGGGGCCACTCCCCGGACGTGGTCACACACTCCTCGATCGTCCAAGCTCTCTGCAACACGGGAAATCTCTCGCGAGCGATGCAGTACTTTCGGGAGAGCGTGGAGTGCGCTCCAGACTCGGTGCTCTTCAACATCCTCGTGCACGGCCTGTGCAAAGCGAACCAGCTCTCCGAGGCTCGCCAGATGATTGAGGAGATGAGCGAGCGTGGAATCGTCCCCGATGTGGTGACTTACAATTCGCTCATCGATGGTCTTTGCAAGAGCTACCGGATGGAGGAAGCTCGCCAGCTCCTAGAGACGATGGTAAAGCGAAAGGTTCGTCCCAATCTCGTGACTTACAACACCTTGATCTATGGTTACTGCAAGACAGGTTGCACGGGGCTCGCTCACCAGCTGATCGAGAGGATGATCCAGTCTGGAACTCATCCCGACGTCGTGACTTTCAACAGTCTCATCTCCGGGTTTTGCCAGAAGAGCAAGATCGACAAAGCTTGCGAGGTCCTCCACCTGATGAAGAAGGGACTTTGTGCGCCAAACTTGGTGACTTACAACGTTCTCATCAGTGGTCTCTGCGACGCCGGGAGAGCAAACGAGGCTTGCGAGCTGCTCAGCGAGATGGATGGCCGGGGGATTCTCCCTGACATCATCACTTACAACAGCCTCATTGGGATCTTCTGCCGGAACTTCCAGATCGAGCAGGCCTTCCAGATACAAAACTTGATGGTGGAGAGAGGAGTGATCCCGGATGGCATCAGTTACTGCACGCTCGCGGTGGCTTTACTCAAGTCGGAGAGATTTGACGAGGCTTTTGCTCTGCTCGACAACATGTTTGACGCCGGAGCTATCCCCAATCTCTTCACTTTCAACAGCCTGATGGAGGGGCTGTGCTGCTCGAGAAGATTGGACGAGGCGAGGCATCTCTTGGCTGTGATGAGACGAGTCGGGTGTGATCCAGCGGCATCGACTTACGAGGTTCTAGTGACCGGGCTTTGCAAGGCAGGGAGAGTGGACGATGCAAAGGAGGTTTTGGTGATGATGGTGAGCGAGGGGATCCAACCTTTGGTGTCGAGCTCTGGCACCATTGTCCATACGCTCGCCAGGGAAGGGAAACAAGATCTGGCGCTCCACTACTTCGATCAGGTGGTGGCGGCGGAGAGTAAAGCTTGTGATCCATCATATCAGAAGCTCCTCGAGTTTGTGAAGGTGTTGCGTGAAGGCAAATCAAACTCTTGAAAGTAAACTTTTTGGGGTGTGTGTGCAATGTCAGCATCCAGTTCTTTTGAGATTCAACAGTCGCATACTTTTCCCCTACATGTTGTATTCATTTAGAAATAAATATGGCTTAAGTCTAAATAATAAAGGCCCAAATTGTCCTCCCCTTTATTCTGGAATTAAATATAACATGAATGGCTACAATTTAATCTTTTATATATTGAGTTATATTAATAAACTATTGTATTTTTATTATTCATATTCTTCAGTAGTTACAGCACACATAAGTGTCAAAAAGAATATTGTATTATAAAAAGAATTTTTTAAATAATATACTTTATTTTCAGTTAGAATTCTTATAAAGTGTATATAATACAAAGTAACTAAGTATTAATTGAATTGTGCATGCATGCACATGCCTTGAATTATTAAAATTAAGATTTCAAACACATAAAATTTGGTTTAAAAGTGTTTTCTTAATGCTATGCAACCTAGACCAAAAACCTATATATTGCTTTATCTATTCCATTTAAAATATTTAAAATATAACTCTGGCCAAAGTATTTAGCATTGGGACATTATCACAATATAAAATAATAAATCATCTTTCATGTTTCTAATTTATATAACTAAAAAAGATAATCTAAAATATTATTTATACTATATATAACAAAAAGCAATTACATGTGTATCTATATACAAGAACTTTAAACCAACATTAATAAAATTAACTCTGGATTGAGATATAATTTGTTAAAAACTCACCAATACAAATCATTTATCCACTTGTAAATAATGATTAAACAAATAGTTTGATTTTTATAAACTAATTATTTTTATAACTATAATTTAATTTATTATTATACCATTTTTTATATATTTAGTAGATCATCACTGATCAAGTAACATTTCAAATATAACTTCCATTTATAAATTAAAGTATAACTTATTATATGTTATAACCTAAATAAATCTAAGACTAGTTATTTATAAGTTTTTTGAAAGATATATATTAATATAAATTTTTTACCATCAACAATAAATTAAAGATATGATCTTAATTGAAATAAATATAATACCCCTCTCCATCTAATTAATACTTTTACTGTTTGATTTTCTTCTAATATGGCTATGTGAGTGCATGGAATATGGAATGAGAATACATTAATGTGCATGTCAATTAACTCAAAACCCTAACTTATATATAAGAGCAAGTGGTCTAAATTGAAACCAATCCAACAGTTATCAAAATCCTATTACACTAATATTAATATATAGCATCGTAGCCAGACACTTGGACCTCATATCAATCCCTCCTCTTGGAATGATGGAAGATAATCAAAGTTCTCTTGTGGATAGGCTAGTATCTTAAGGAATATTAGAAGGAGGGATTGGTGGATTTATATGTGGTGTTAGTTGTGTAAGTGACTAAATTTTCCATTCTACTTTAGTCACTTAACCACACCTCCGACCACTTGGAGGAGTCTCACTCACAACCTCCATAAGTCTTATTTTGGACTTGGGCTTGCCAGCCTCGAAAATGGCATCCTCACCACTCAACCTTTATACTTGGTCCAAGTGCTCCATGTGTTCGATCCTATGACCGACACCCCAAGGTACTATTGACATATCAGCCTGTTACACTAAGGCCGTGCCCCTTCACCTTGGTCACACCGATAGTCTAACACCACCTGCATCACAGTCCCGTCTCTCAAGGACTGGACCATCCATCCATGAGTGATCATCCCAGATCCATTCCTTAGCATCCTTAGGATGCTCACATATATGGGGATTAGTCTTCCCTAATATCTCTTTTCCAATCCCCACCAAGTCCCTTTTTGTTCATAGCCGTGCTCGCCAACATTGCCACTAGATCAAAGCCCACAAGCCCGACCACTAAGTCCCATGGTCCTTTGGGACTTTTTCCTCACATGACCATATCCTTAGTTTCTACACTAGAGGATGGCTCTTCTTCTTTTTCACCGTCTGGTACTTTGGGACAACATTTCGGAACACCGTGGCCCTGCGCAAGCCTCCTGGGTACTCTCCCCGCCTTCTGCCTTTGGGTGCTCTAGCCATGGGCTTAGAGTGAGGTTCCGTTGAGCCACGCCTGGTATCCAAGTAGGTAGTGCCACCCACACTTGGACTGGGAGCATCGGCCAGTCGATCTCCCGGGGGAACTAGAGTCGGCTCTTGAACACTTCACCAAGCTACCCCGCTTGTCGGTTCATATTCACTCTAGTCTTGGACTTCCCAGTGGTCAATTCATCACCCAACACTGGGTATGGCCTTCCTGGGCCAAACTGGCCTTTCCTGGCCAAACTAGCTCCACTGCAATCCTCCCCCTCACTATACTTTTGGAGCTCACCAAACCCCCCAGGGTCTGGGAGACGAACGCTTTGGGCTTTCACCCTCTCAAACTCGGACTCGGACTCGGACTCGAATTTGAATTCGAACTCGGACTCGGACTCGGACTCGGACTCGGTCCGTCTTGGGTCCATCTTGGATCCATCTCGGACTCCATCTTGGGTCCACTTCGAACTCCAACTCAGATCCATCTCAGACTCCATCTTGGACTCTATCTCAGGTCCATCTCGGACTCCATCTTGGGTCCACCTTGAACTCCAACTCAGGTCCATCTCAGACTCCATCTCGAACTCCATCTCGGGTCCATCTTGGACACTTCCACGTGTCATGTATTGGTCCTTTTGGGTCCCTTTTTGGAGCCTTGCTTATTGCTCGCTCCTCGAGCCTTTTGTTGGGAGTTCCACTCCCACTCTCGACCTTCCAAGTTAAAGCTTTTAGTCCAAATGTATTACGCTCATTTGGCTTTCACTTCAGCCACTACCACATGGCACCCTTTCTGGCTCCACTTTGGGGCTTAGGGATTTCGTGTCTCACAACTCCACCACCCATAGACGAAGTTTGATGTCCTCATCAAACGATAAACTATTTCATAAAGTAATACCAACATGTATTACCCTTTCCATTTTTGGCCCCTCGCCAATATTTATCAATGGTTTGATACTGAAGGCTCACCATGCCTTGCCCATCCTCTAAGGAGCATAGTCTCTCCAACTTAGAGACTTATTCGACCACTTGTGGTGGTTCTTTCTGTTTATTGGTTTAGTCCTTGCTAAACCTGTTAGAGATACCTTCTCTATCTCAATCCACTACTCCTTCTTAAGTAGTCTCAATTTCCATCAATATAACCTTTGCACTTTGGAACTTTTACTTTGGACTTCACAAAGTCAATTTCGTAGGTGTCTCTGACACCTTGCATTGCATCTATTGTGCAACTCCCCATCCCAGGAAGTTCTCTACTTGAGGGCACTATCATCCTTTCTTCTATTTCGTGCCACCTTGGGCACCAAGTTCCAATTATCATACTTTGTGCTAGGGCTGTCCATAGCCTTATCATTTGGCTACCTTACCGCTCCCTCCCTTGGAGCTTCCACTTTTGCCAAATTGGAGCAATTGGGAATCCATCCTTGGAAACACATTGCCTTTCCCACAATTCGTTAGCACCCAACACATTAGTGTTTCTGGCCTAATTTTGCCATTTGGATTCTTTCCCATGATTCTCATGGCTCTTTTCTTAGCCATTAGTTTTTTGCTCCTATCCTTGATTGTTGCACCTAGCAATATTGGATCGCTACCTCTATTCTCGAGGTATCCTTTTGGTTCCTTAGCAAAGACTTTGCTTTGCTTAATCTAGAGGGTGTTCACCCATAGTAAGTCTCTTTAGCATTTTCTGCTGTGGGCTCTATCCCTAGCCCAACTTTGTGACCCTCCCATAGGTCTTTTATAGAGATTATTTTCTTTGGACTCACTATGCCATCGCATTGCCACAGATCGTTTCCCTTAGGTGTTCTTCCCACTTGGTCACCTTGATCAAGCCACACCATCATCAATAGTTCAAATCAACACTTTGAACTAGGAACCTTATCCATGAATCTCACAAGGACCTTGTCCTTGTTTTAGCCATAAGATCACCTAGTGATCTAACCTTGGCACCTTAACAGGTTTGCCAATAGGTACTAAGTCCTCTAGACCTTGAAGTTGTTCACCATGACCCCAAGGGCATCCCCCACACTTGGCGGTGCACCCAAGCCAACCCTCTCTGGCTAAGGGTCCATAACAACTAAAACTGGGTGTCCCCATCTCATTCACCACGTCCTTGGTGCAAGTTGCACCAAAGTGTTCAAGTTAGATATGCCGAGCCACACTAAGCAATCTAACCGTGCATCATGACTTCGAGGCATCCCTCGCTTGGCAGTGTGCCCAAACCAGTCTCCTCACTGAGAGTCCATGACCACCGAAAAATGAGCATCCTCATATTCCAAACCATCACCACGCCCTAGTGATTTGGGACTTGAACCCAAGCACTAGAGGGTCGGGACTCGAACCCAACCTTCGTATATGCATCTATGAAAGGCATCATCCAAGATGCCTTGCATGACTCCCCACGCTGGTGCACCAACTTATAGTTAAAGCGTGCTATAGATCATAGCTTAGGAACCTAGTTCCTCAGCACTGCCAAGTCCTCTCACTTGACAAGTTTATGATCATGCATGGATTCCTCCATGCTCAGCCCTATGGGCCACCCCTTTTGAAGTTAGCACCTTCAACTAGGGGATTTGTCCCCCTGACTTGCCAATCTCACTTAACAAGTCATCCGGCCATCGTAACATGGTTCATGCATAAGTGTGAAAGTCCTTAACCATCGACTTTCGTTCAAAGCCCTCTCTTTGAACACTCGGGAACTACTTCCCCAACCTTGATAGCCTCGCCTCATGGCCAGCTTCAAGACCATGCTTTTGCTGCACCACTCTGATTTCACGTGCTCTAGGAACCATTTACGTTTGGCTTTCTAGGTATTTACCTACCTAGAATTGTCTTTAGGAACTTTCAAGGAACTCTATTCCTTAGTTTGCTTCTCCTTTGCAAGCTCTCTACTCACCATATGGTCTAACATGGATGATTCCACATTTTAGACTCTCTATGGCATCGTGGTTGCTAGTAACAACATCCTCGAGCACCCTCTTGATTCTCCACTCCCAACTTGCATAACCACC